TCGCTTTCGACATTATTTCCAGACAGCTCCAAGAGAAGGGGGTACCTTTGCTGGTCTCCCTCCCCCAGGGGTGCCAGCACGGAGTCAGTCTTGGCTGCGACAGTGGCCTCGACGCCGAAGCAACTGGATCAGGACATCGATGTGCTTCTCGAGGTTCTTTGCATTTGCAGCTCAGCGCTTCTCCCGGAAATGTTGAAACCCTTGTGGATTATCGCGGTTCCGAAGCCATTGTTTCTAGAGAGGACCGCCGCGATGCGAGTGGCCACTCGAGTGTGCAGAATCCGGGAAGAGTTGTGCGCATCCGTGTTGATGGTTATCACAAGTACGTTGGTACTGCCACCTCCCTTCAGGCATATGCCACAGCCGATGCAAATGCGAAGGCAGCCAAGACTCTCGCTGTGTATGCCCCGTTGTCGTACATACGCTTTTGGCTCCTTGTATGTTGCGTGATCCAAGCTTGTGTTCGGGGTGCATGTGCTAATGTTGTAGGCTCGGCATTTGAAGCGGCTGAGTGTTTGGACGTTGCGGTGCTCCGTCGTCTTTTCGACGAGCCCCGCTCTGAGCGTGTGGAGTACTCTGGCCACCACATATCATACGAGAACGCGATCAGCCATCACCTTCCAGAAGCGCTCGTCCCGCGTCAAATGCATCCATGTCTCAGGATCCTCAGACACGGGCAAGGAAGCCGTCAGCGAGGTGGGACCGAAGGAAACCAGCATCGTGTTGCACGGCTTAGATTTACCGTAACGTATGCCCTCGTGGACTCGCACTGAGCAGCGAGAGCAAAGACGAAGGCCTCGTGCGGTGAACTGGGCACAATACTTCACGCGAAGGCGGATGACCAGACGGCTGATCGCTAGTAAATGGAACGCTTCGCGGACCTCACCGCCAGCGCATCGCCGACCCCACCCCAGCATGCGAGTCCCATGTGCGGCATTTTTGGTGCCGCATTCGCTTTTGCCCGTGGCTCCCAGAGACATCAGCGATCCAGACATGGAGCTGGGCTTCAGGTCCGTTGCCAGCTGGCGGCGTCGCAGTGCCCCGCCCGCGGGACCGACTTTGTCCAGCGATTGCGACTCATTGCCCGCGTTTCCGATTGGAAGTGCCCGAATTGTCGCGATAGGATTTTGCCGAAATGCCCTCGGCTCTCTGACGCCGAGCTTGCGAATCTCGATGACGTTGACCACGACTTACGCAGGTCTGCGCAGCGAGCTGGCACTAGCCATCATTTGGTTGCGGCTCTTGCTCGCCCTTGTGCTGGCAAGATCCCTGACCGAGTGCGCGCGTGAATGCATGAATCGTGTTCGTTTTTTTGTCAACTTCTGCATGCACATCTGGTTATTTTTTGTCAAATTCTACATGCACATATGTATCGATGTTTATTTCACTACCATTCTGTGGTGTTGGGTCCTCGTTTTGAAGAGACAGCGCCGCGTGTCCATCCTCCTTCCTTCCTCCTCCCCCTCCTCCTTCCTCCCTCTTCCGCAGTTCGCGTGCGTCCCACCCGTCCAGTACAGCATTCCGTGGCCCCAGAGGGGGCTCCAACGAAGGTCCGAGTGGCGGAACTCGCATGCGATTTCTGCGTCCAGTGCAGCGTTTCTTGGCCCCATAGGGAGCCTCACCGACGGTCCCAGTGGCAGAACTTGCATGCGGTTCCTGCGCCCAGTGCAGCGTTTCGTGGCCCCATAGGGAGCTCCACCGAAGGTCCCAGCGGCGGAACTCGCATGCGATTCATGTGTGTATGTAGTCCTGCTGTATATTTGTACAATCCGGGGTGGTGTGAAAGTCCCCCCAAACCCAGACCCCCCAGATCTGTGGCCCCAGAGATCCCAGGACGCCTATGCACAAGGCCCCCCGTGTCTTTCAGGAATTCCTGGCAGCCCCCTCGGAGCCCGGGCAATGGGCCCAACTGAGTCGCGAGGGCGGCAGAACGGCGCCCCGAGGGCCCCCAAAGGCCCCAGAGATCCACCAGACGCCTGAAGACGCCCCCCAAAAGCTTTCTGGAAACGGAGAAAACATAGATTTCCCATTTGTTTTCGAATGATTTTGGAACTTCCCTGTTCTTCAGTCTTCTGGGCGTCCGAGACCGCCCAGGAGGCCCGAACATCGCCGCACAATTATCCGAAAGGGCTTCCAGGCAGTCCAAGAGAGCCCCAAGACGGCCCAACAGGGTCCCAAGATGCTCGAAGAGAGCCCCATGACGACCCAAGATGGCCCTAAGATGCCCCCCGAAGAATTCCAAATCGTGACCCGGTCGTTCAGGGAGACCGCGGTTGGAAGCAGGGTGGCCAGAAGAAACCCCCCAAACCAGAAGGCCCCAATAATCCCTTATCAATTGTCGTGAGGCCTCCAAGAGGCTCTCCATAGAGGATCCCGCGCAAAAAGAGCTGTGGAGATGGGGAGTAACTCCCAGGGTAGGGCGATAATGAGGAAGAGGGAGAAGAAGCATGAGGGAAGGATACTGAAGAATATTATCGTCTCCGCGATGTCGGAAAAGGCAGCAAGGAGGTATCGCTAAGGTGTCAGTTTTACCTGTCTGCCCTCCCGCCTGCATGCCAAACTTCAAGGACCAAGATGCACGGTGCGAAGTGCAAATGCAATATTGTATATCTATGTACCTGTATTGTTGCATACATGTATGTGTGCACGCATACCTACATGTGTGTGCATACATCTATATATAGTCGTTTTCTGTTTCTGATACATACATGTATATACATATATATGTATACACGAACACGCGTGCATTCATCTGTGCATTGTGTGCGGGCATATGAGCGTGTGTGTATACCCTTATATTTACACATGTATGTATATATATATATATATATATGTATTGGCAGGCAGTTTGCATGTAGTCACGCAGACTTGCATAAATACATATGTGTCTATGAATAGCTTCGGGCTTCCGCGATGAATTCGTTCTGGCCTTGGAATGCGGGGCTGTCAGAACTACGCCCCCGCGGCCCGGGCGGAGCGAGGTCCAGCGCGCCCTGCTCTTGCTACCAGTGCCAGACCGCACGCCCCGGGCCCTGGACTTGGTGCGGCGGCCTCGGATCGCCCGCGCGGATCGCTCGCCCGCGCGGTCTCCTGACGGCGCCTCGCCGAAAGAGAGAGAGGGAGAGAGAAAGAGGGATACATGTATGAACATATGAACATATATGTACACGCATTCGTATATATATATATATATATCTCTATATATATATATACATCTAGAGACATAGATGCATACATACATGAATGCATGCATACGATTATACATGCATACACACAGCCATGCACACAAGCATCTAGACATACATGCACACATGTATGCACACATACATGCATACATACATACATATCTATATACATACACATACGTGCACATATGCATACATACACCCACGCATGCATGCATGCACACATACATACTTATACAGAGAGGCGTATACATACACGTGTACATACACATACACGTACACATACACACATACACATACACATACACATACACACCACATACGTACAGACGCATACATACACCCATTCTTACATACACCCGTACACACATACATACATACACCCATACATTCATATAGCCATACATCTATGCATTCATACATCTAGACACACATGCATACATACATACGTACATACGCACATCCACACACATACATACATGCACAATTGCATACATACATACTCCCATAGATACACACATACACACATATGCATACATACATGCACATACGCATACAAACGTACATGCATACACATACATCTGTACATGCATGCATCCATGCACGCATGCATACATACGTACATACACACATGCGTACACACACATACATACACACGTTCATTCATACATACATTTATGCATACAAACACACATACACATACATACACACATACACGCATACATACATACATGCATCCATACATACACACCTGTATGCAGGTATGCATACATGCATGCATATATACATGCATACAGTCATACACACATACATGCACATGTACGTGTATATTCACACATGTGTCAACACGTGTGCATATATGTTTATGCACAAGGTAGCATTGGATGAGTCAATTATCCATCTATGTAGAGATCGACTCATGTATGTATGTATGTATGTATGTATGTATGTATGTATGTATGTATGTATGTATGTATGTATGTACGCACACACACACACACCTTGCACTCCTGCTACAGAGGGAGAGCTTTCCACCTGGCGCCCGTACCGTCCCGGGCGGCCCGGCCCGAGCCTCGCGTGCCCGAAGAGCGGCCCGCCGCTGCCTTTGCTCGGGGCACCTCGCGTCGCGGCTTGACGCTGGCCTGCCCGTGGCGCGGATGGCGCGGATCTCCTGCGGGGGCCTCCGCGAAGGACCTTGCTCGGCTTCGCGGAGTCCTGCACGACCTGGTGCGCGCGAGGGTGCCTCTGGTGCTCCAATTCCCTCTGAGCTTGAGTCGGGCATGTCCCTCTACAGAAAAAAACATGTTCCGAAAACAGTTAAAAACAGTCTGAGGACACGCACCATCGGCACATGTACGGACAGGGTCACCAGGCACCACATCACACGCCTCAAGTGGGATCAATGGGAGCCCGAGTGGAAGACCGCGCCAGTCGATTGGGCGGAACGGGGACTACCGGGTCCCTGGATTCCGATGTGCCGCGGCCAGGAAATGGTCTTCCCACCAGCCTGGGACCACGTCCCAGTCCTCCACCCGACGACCTACCAGGAGTCCACGGCTTTGCCGCCACTGGGAGTAACCGGGAACAAAGATCAAGTCCGCCCACCAAACAGTGCCTGGGCCCTTGGAGCACCGGCGCATCCCCGAACACGGAACAACAGGACACCGAGTTAACCCAAAATATTGACCGCCGACGACATCGCTCGCAACGAGAAGGCAGCGCAAGCGATGGCACCACCAGGGCCCTCCGGTGGTGCCTTGCCAGTCGCCCCCCCTCAGGAAGAGGCCGCCTCGGCACTCGGCACTGGCAGCCCAGGTGTCGCTGCGAGCGCTGCTGGCCATAGTCCCCACGGCGCACCTGGCATTGTTCCCAGCCGGCCAGTCTCCGGGACAGGGCGGCTCAGGACAGCCAAGTGCGCCGTCCAACCCTTTCACCACACCGGGCGTCGCAAGCAACGAGGAGCCGGAGACCGAGGTTACTACGGGTCGCGGACGGGATGCCGCTACTGAAATCAAGAAGATCTACCTTTTCTGGTGGAGTCACGGAAGACAGGCGATCATTCCCTCGATTCCCATCGGAAGGGTCCCCAGTGGAGTGGACCACTCTGCCCAACACCTGAGCAATTGACGTCAAGGAATACGTCGCCAGACTCGTCCGGATGAATCAAATTGAAACGTGTGCCAACTTGGACCCAGACTACGACGGAAAAACCAAGACTCGTAGGGACTTGAAAGCCAAGCGCACCTGCGCCTTAGACGCTTGCCCGGAACTGGTGACACCAGCGAGGCGACACTGGTTCATTCAGGATTACAAACTGGAGGACTGGATCGAAGAGAGCGAAGCCACGGACTACTACGTGGTCAGCTGGAACGCCGAGTGGCAGCTGACAGCAGACTGCGGGGAGGAAGGAGTACGAGCCGTGCTGCTGTCACACAAAGGACCCAACACCGACGAAATCGCCTGTCTCCGCGTGGTCTTCCCACGCTTCCCTGGGCGAGTCATCCCAGATGACAAGCGTGGGCTCCATCCGCATTGTCGCGTCTACCCAACCAGTGGCTGTATGGTCATGCGCGACAGGGTCGACGGGCCAGTGCATTGCACCTCTGCTGTAGCGCCCCTGCCTGAAAAGACAGGTGCGCCTCACTACTGCGTCGACATCGCGCCCAGTGCGATCCAGCACGCAGAGGTCAAAACCGCCCTACGAACATGTACCATTCGAACGTACACTGGGACGATCTATGGGGGGCCACGCTAGCTGAGTTGCCATGCGCGCTGGGCTTTGCGACAGACAACAACGGGAAGAAACGAAGTTCCAACGACACTTGCAGGAACGCGCTGAGCGGACAGCTTCTGCGTCTCCGAAGTCGTGCAACGTTCGGAGGCCAGTTGCTCGGTCCGGACCAGTTTGGCGACCTGGTGAGCAGGCCGGACGCGGTGGAACCGATCACGGACGCTGAAGTAGACGAACACCCAGGCTCGGCGTTGCAGCGTGCCAACAACGTGCCCGCTGAGGACACCATCAAAGGGGTCTTTGCAGCGCATGACCTGACCGATGACCACGCGCAGGCATTCCGCTCATCCGTCAAACATCTCGTCACGGCGGTACAGGGCCCGCCTGGCAGAAGGAAAACGCGTTTCGCCGCCGCGCTAGCCAGGATTTGGCACATGTCGCTGGACTCGGTTCTTCTGTTCTCGCCGTCGCTGGCCCCAACGCAGCAGCAGACCAGGCGGCCGCCGCCTTCGAAACAGCGCGCAGAGAGGGCCGCCTCGACAACTTTCCGCAATGCCCGGGCTGCGCTGTGCGACTTGCAGTGGACGAACGCATTGCGCATCCTGGCGCTCGCAAGTTGTCCGCCACCAGCCACTAGTGGACACTCGAACCCAACAGGTCCAACAAGAGTAAGAGCTGGCGCAAGTCCAAAGACGACCTCAGCAGCAAATGCAGCATCATCATCGCGACCCACGAAGGCTCCCGGAGGCTCGACCAGCCCAGCGCACCCAAGGTGACCCTAGGTATCGCCGACGAGGCCGGTCAGGTCAACGAGGTCTCTGCTGCCATCTCCATCGGCATCATGGCCGACTGTGGCGCCCACATCGTTCTCGTGGGCGATCCCGGGCAGCTCCCGCCAACGGTGCAGTCCGGGTACGCAGAATACTTGGGGCTACAAGTTTATCCTTTCGCTGAAATTCAAGACTCCCCGGGAGAGGACAGACCTGCCGCAGTATTTCTCACGAGTGCCTCAGGTGCCACCCCGACGTCCTTAGCTTCTCCAGGTTCGCTTACTACGACGAGAAGACCGAGTCAGGCCTCATCGCACCACTACAAGACCGTCCCATTGTCAACGGGCTTCTGTGGGTCAAGCACCGTCCACTGGACAACGAGCGACTGGGGTCTGTCGCCAAACAGCTAGGACAAATGCGTGGACGAATTCATGGGCGAGATCTGCGACCTACGCGCCGAGGGGGCGATGCCTGGAGACGTCTCCCGTGTGCTCATGATCGACAATCCACATGCGGACAGCGCCTCCGCTATCAAGAGCGGCTGCGCCGACCTCCACGGCGCTGCCGCATGCCTTGAAGTTGTTCGCGCGCTTGGCCCCGCCATGCTTAACTTTGAACCAGCCGTCGAGGTGCTCGCCCCCAACGCGGCGCAGCGGGCCGCGCCGTGCGGCGGGTGGCCGCAGCGCAAGAGTGGTTTCTGGAAGAACGCCGCGCTGGCTGAATCGAAGCAGGGTAAGAAAAGCCAAGGCACTACAGCGGCTTCCGAGCCAAATCCACAGGGTCAGTCATCCAATCCTTTCTCCCCATGTCATGCCCAACCGCGCGCGGTTGGCGCGCGCGCCCGCTCTGCTCCTCCTGCCCGCGCCTCTGGCCCAGGCGCCAGCTGCCCACTCGATGCCCCCCCGACTGCCGACAGCGGTTTGATACTTTCGTTCAAGGGATTGGCCGAAACGTTCCCCGACTTGATGGAGTTGGTCAGCTCTCCCTCTCCACGATTGACGCCAGTCAGGGAGGAGAAGCTGACGTAGTTATCCGCAAGGGCTTCGCCCCCTGCCGCCGGCCCCCTCTCTCGGAGAATGGGCCATGGAAGAGCTAAGTCATGAGGCCTTGGCGCTGTCGCGAAGCGGCATCGAAACTTCGTGCGAAGCCGAGTCGCAATCAGCAAAACCAACTGATCACAAGAGGGGTTACCACACCTGGCGATTGGTAAGACGTGTATGGTCTAAGGGCTTGGTTACCACACCTTGCGATTAAAGGGCCGAGGGAGTTCTCGCAGTTTGGGTCACCGCGCCTTGCGATGGATGTGCGTGATGGGTTCGAATTTCAGAAATGTGGCAAATCCCTGGTGTTTTTGGACCCTGACCCCGCGGATCTGCGTAAGGGGTGGCGCCGAATTTCAGAAATGTGGCAAATCCCTTGTGTTTTTTGGACCCTGACCCCGCGGATCTGCGTGAGGGGGGGGTGGCACCGAATTTCAGAAATGTGGCAGATCCCTTGTGTTTTTGGACCCTGACCCCGCGGCTCTGCGTGAGGGGTGGCATCGAATTTCACACATGTGGCAAATCCCATGTTTTTGGACCCTGACCCCGCGGATCTGCGTGAGGGGTGGCACCGAATTTCAGAAATGTGGCAAATCCAATGTGTTTTTGGACCCTGACCCCGCGGATCTGCGTGAGGGGTGGCACCGGATCTCAGAAATGTGGCAAATCCCATGTGTTTTTCTACCCTGACCTCGCGGATCTGCGTGAGGGGTGGCACCGAATTTTAGAAATGTGGCAAATCTCATGTGTTTTTTTGACCCTGACCCCGCGGATCTGCGTGAGGGGTGGCACCGAATTTCAGAAATGTGGCGCATCCCATGTGTTTTTGGACCCTGACCCCGCGGATCTGCGTGAGGGGTGGCACCGAATTTCAGAAATGTGGCGCATCCCATGTGTTTTTGGACCCTGACCCCGCGGATCTGCGTGAGGGGTGTCGATTTTGAGCCCCCCCAGCAATTCAGACAACGCGCCCAGGGGGCGGTGGAAAATCCTGTTTGGGCCTCCCCTCCCTCGCGCGGTCAATCAACTAGTTACAGTAACCAGCAAGAAGCAGAACTGTAACACTGGAAACTACAAGCTACAACTGGTACTGGAAACTGCGAACCCGCGCCTACAGCCTGGTGGCCCCACAAGGGGGCCGGCGGATTTACCTTGCCGCGCGCTCCAACGGGTCCTGCGACTGGGTTTTCCCCAACGCGCCAAACAGGACCAACGTCGCCCTGGCCAGAGCTAAACGGTTCGCGGTGCTCATCGGATACCGGCGGATGTTCAAGGCTGCGACCGAGTCTGCTCGTCGGACCCTCGCCGACGGCGCGGCCGCAGACCTCTGGGCGAGATCTGCCTCCGCTGAGCCTGGGGGGGGGGGGGGGGCGCAACGAGGGGTGGGGGCCCTTCAGCTCATTAGCTCACTCTGCTCCAACTGAAATCGGGACCGCCATGCCGGGCAGCGACCCAACCGCAACAGCGCCGAGCGCTGCATCCAGCATCCTGAAGCAGAAGGTTAAATGCGATGGGGGCCAGGCCAAAGGTTTCGTCCACAGCGTCGACAGACCGCTACCGGAAGGGTTTGAATGAGGAGCCCTGGCAAAGCAGCGCAACGACTCACTGAGGGAGCTCCTGGCCGCGCCCGCTCTCTTTCCTGTTCTCCTCCTTGCATCTGGCCTTCGCCCTCGCGCCCTGAGCCCCGCGCAACACCCCGACGATCCCAATCTCTATGGCAGGAAGATGTGGAGCCACCAAGGGTTTCTCTACGACGTTACGGTCGGAATTGATGCCGGCAACCTGACGTGCAACAATCTCTGGGCGCGCCTGATGCGCGCGGTCGGGCTCGGCCACAAGTGGGGCGACTCCGGCGCTCCGCTCTCGGCGGCCATCCTGCCTGATGGACCAAGAGGCTGCCTGCAGAAACGCGCATCCAAGGACTGTCGGGGCACGCCGGGTGGCATGGATAAACAGCTACCCACGGTATGGAGTGCCAAGACGACACAGTGTCCAATACGCCAACTTCATCCAGGGATGGGCGGCCTGGAAAGCATCACCAAAAGCGACTGCATGCCTACTGACCCCACCGCGTGTGCTCAGGCCTGCACGGCCCTCGTGGTGATGATGCTAGCGCTTCGGGATCCAAGGGCCTGTCTCTTCCCATGTTCCGAACAAGAAGGGGCGGGGGATATCGTGGATCCCGTCCTGGGCACGTGCAAACCTGGCAGCTCAACTGGCACCGCGCCCGCCGCCAAGGACCTTCATTTCCGGGCGCAGGTCGGCCTGGCATTGAATATTTTCCAACCACGACTACCAGAACGTGCATCGGAAATTTACCGACGCGCTAAGACACGTGAGCGCGCTTGCAAGGATCAGCCACCATCGCGATGTCTCGAAACAAGCAGGATGCCCATCAACGTGGGAAGAATGCAAGCGTTCTGACTTTCACATCAAAGGGGCCCTGCTGGTCATCGACTAGCTCGTCGAACCGCTCCAATTACCGCTGGCTCTCACGGATGACCAGCCTGACAACGAGACAACCAGCTGCACCATCTGCTGGCTCTACAAATCCATCGCAGGGAATCACAAGCATCTCGGGTGCACGCCGGACCAGAAGCTGCACAGCGCTGGCGCAGGGCGAGAAATGGACCAGAAGGACCTTCTCATACCTGAACCCCCTGCAGCGACACTTGGCGCCACAATGACACCGAAAAGGCTTCGAACAGGAGACCGGCGCTTCTCGCCGTCGCAGAACACAGCCAGCTTCCACTGCGACGAGTGTCAGAGAGGCCCCTCCACAAGCTTCGATGGCACCTGGGAGGACAACGATCTGCGTCAACGTATGGCTACGGCAAGGACTGCAGGGCGGCGCGAGGGACTCAACTGCCGTTGGCTGTGCACTGGGTGCTGGGTGG